TTCGGAGCGATTTGAGAGATCGGGACAGAACCAGGCGAGGAAGTGATGCGGAGACGCCCATACAACAACAATAATAGAGGCGCTCAAAGGGGATGGACGGAGAGTAGATCTGTGGTGTGGAAAGCAGCGGAGAAGTTTAGTAGCAAGCTTTCGCAACCAATATCATCCATAATAAAGGTTGTTTGGGTTAGATCGCGTAAATATAAATGTGTTGTTAATCCCGCCACCACCCGACAAAGCGAATTAGTAAGAAACCAGATTCGAAGCTTTCGTGACTGCAGGAATTACTCTTTGGTTCTTTCGGTAAAGTCACGTAGAAAATAAAATCAAATAATAATAGAATATATTAATTCTTACATGATGATGGTTGCTTGTGTTGCAACCGAAACGTCGTATTCTATTATTATTTGATTTTATTTGCTACGTGACTTTACACGAAATAACCGAAGACGAATTAGTAAGGTTTGTCAGGTAAACAGAACGTGCCAATTCGTTACTAGTACAGCACACCGGTGTGTTGGAGAGCAAATCCACAACATTTACAATCTGTCTAGAAGAGAGATACAAAGGTGTGTGGCAGTAGCGTAACGAGCGTGGGGGCAGGGGGTGCCTTCCCCTACCACCCTCCTGGTGGCCAAAGCTAGGAGTTGGCACTCCCTTGATAACCACCATGCGATACTTAAAAAAAAATCTTTTGCGAAGGCGGAGCGACCCGACAGCGTAAAATGTTCGAGACCGTGAGCACAACGATGTGATTGGGCGAGAGGAAGCCGCGATATGTAATAGCCTAGGGGTGCGACCGTGCGAGACAAATCAAATATTGGGGGGGGTCCCCCACCTGACCGATTGCCGGCACCCCCTGAACTGATGATGTCGTTACCACGCCAATGGTGTGAGGGGGCGCCACGCGCAGGAGGGCAACGTGAGTTGAGCGGTCTTGGTGGAATCCAGATCCGCACCTCCGATTGGCACGGTTTGGCTATGTGCGGTGCGAAAGAAGTTCAACATACGGTAAATATACGCAAGGAGGCGGCGATGGGGGGGGGGGGGGCTGTCAATTTAAGACCCCCCCCCCCGCCGCGGTGCGGCAGATTTACTCGACCATACTTCACCACGCCGGTCAGGGCGGGTTAGTAAAGGCGGGGCAGCAGAGAGACGAGACGGCATTGAAGTGCAGTACAGTACGATGGATTCCGCTGCACCGCCCTTGACTGCTCTTGCTCAACAACACGTAGCCCCGCAGCAGCAGCCTATAACACCCGGTCATGCAAGGGGGTGGTGGTCGCCCCATCTCATCCAAGCACCATTCCCAGGCACATCCCTGCTAAGCTTGCAAGACCTTACTCTTTGGTTCTATTCGGTAAAGTCACGTAGGTAAAAAATAAAACAACAAAAATCACGACGTTTCGGCCACAACACAAGCGGCCTTCATCGGGTGAAGGGACCAGACTGTCTCGAAGACTGTGTCTTCAAATCTAGACTTGCAAGACCTGGCAAGGTCGGGCGCGTTCCGGGTGATTGGGCCCTGGTTCTCAGATGGATGTGGACACTTGAGTTGGCCATATACTGTGCTGTGCTGTATACTATGAAAACGAAGCTACGTTTTATTTTACCAGGTAAGGCCCCATTGAGCTATGTAGCTGTTTTTTCAAAGCGACCTGGCCACAAATGATAGCCCAACGAAGTGGCTTATCATGTGGACATTTATTGCAGCCAAATACTTTAAACGCATATTCTTTCTAAATGTGACCACGGGGAGAGAGACATGCAAACTCCAAATATACAGCAGGCGTCAGTATCTAACCCACGACCTCCTGTATACCTAGCGAGGTAGTTAACATTTCCTAGCCACCCCGCGGTGAGCGCCAATGACACGGTCACTCTGAACGTCTCAACGGCCCAAGGCTTTTAGTAAACAGAACCCGTGAAACGCGATTCTCACGGTTGTTATTTAAGGTTGCATCAGCTGTGTACGTGAGTATTGTCACGCGGAGCAGCACTTGCATCTATTAGCATGCCAATGAGTCTTATCATCACCACAGCGCAGTACAACATTCCTAACGCTCTGATGTAGTTGGAGCCTAGGGACCCCCGCCCCCCTTCGCTATAAATGGCCACGTGATTATAAGCCACTTTGCTGAGATGTATCATTTGTGGCCAGGTTTCTTCTGAAAAAAAGATAATATCTGTGGGCTTTCGACATCTGCGAAAAAGAGCTGCATAGCTCATCTGATTCTTCCAGTCTACATATTTTGAATTTGAACTAAGCGCCGACCTACAAGGTGGCCATAAGCCTTCCAGTCGGGGGGTCGATGGTGCAATTGGGGTTCTCAAAATTAAATAGTTTGTGAGTCAAGTTTACCAAATCTGGCAAAATGTGAACCCTGGCTGCCGGCTCAGAATGGCCAACAGCTCTGGTCGAATGGCGTCACGGGAGAGAGAGCGGCCTCACCGAGTCTCTCTCTAGGCCTCACCGAGTCCCTCTCTAGGCCTCACCGAGTCCCTCTCTAGGCCTCACCGAGTCCCTCTCTAGGCCTCACCGAGTCCCTCTCTAGGCCTCACCGAGTGTATCTCTAGGCCTCACCGAGTGTCTCTCTAGGCCTCACCGAGTCCCTCTCTAGGCCTCACCGAGTCTCTAGGACTCCCCGAGTCCCTCTCTAGGCCTCACCGAGTCCCTCTCTAGGCCTCACCGAGACTCTCTCTAGGCCTCACCGAGTGTCTCTCTAGGCCTCACCGAGTCCCTCTCTAGGCCTCACCGAGTCCCTCTCTAGGCCTCACCAAGTCCCTCTCTAGGCCTCACCGAGTGTCTCTCTAGGCCTCACCGAGTGTCTCTCTAGGCCTCACCGAGTCCCTCTCTAGGCCTCACCGAGTCCCTCTCTAGGCCTCACCGAGTCCCTCTCTAGGCCTCACCGAGTCCCTCTCTAGGCCTCACCGAGTCTCTAGGCCTCACCGAGTCTCTAGGCCTCCCCGAGTCCCTCTCTAGGCCTCACCGAGTCCCTCTCTAGGCCTCACCGAGTCCCTCTCTAGGCCTCACCGAGTCTCTCTCTAGGCCTCACCGAGTGTCTCTCTAGGCCTCACCGAGTCCCTCTCTAGGCCTCACCGAGTCCCTCTCTAGGCCTCACCGAGTCCCTCTCTAGGCCTCACCGAGTGTCTCTCTAGGCCTCACTGAGTGTCTCTCTAGGCCTCACCGAGTCTCTCTCTAGGCCTCACCGAGTCCCTCTCTAGGCCTCACCGAGTCCCTCTCTAGGCCTCACCGAGTCTCTCTCTAGGCCTCACCGAGTCTCTAGGCCTCCCCGAGTCCCTCTCTAGGCCTCACCGAGTCCCTCTCTAGGCCTCACCGAGTCTCTCTCTAGGCCTCACCGAGTCCCTCTCTAGGCCTCACCGAGTCTCTCTCTAGGCCTCACCGAGTCTCTCTCTAGGCCTCACCGAGTCTCTCTCTAGGCCTCACCGACTCTCTCTCTAGGCCTCACCGAATCCCTCTCTAGGCCTCACCGAGTCTCTCTCTAGGCCTCACCGAGTCTCTCTCTAAGCCTCACCGAGTCCCTCTCTAGGCCTCACCGAGTCCCTCTCTAGGCCTCACCGAGTCTCTAGGCCTCACCGAGTCTCTCTCTAGGCCTCACCGAGTCTCTCTCTAGGCCTCACCGAGTCTCTCTATAGGCCTCACCGAGTCCCTCTCTAGGCCTCACCGAGTCTCTCTCTAGGCCTCACCGAGTCCCTCTCTAGGCCTCACCGAGTCTCTCTCTTGGGCCAATCGTCTTTGAAGGACCCCCGCACACGCACAGCCCTTCTGTCGATCCACTGCTGGATGAGGGCCTCGCCACGCCGTGTCAGTCGCGATGGGGTTGTTCGACTGCACTTCACCACGCCTGTCAGTGCGGCTTGGTGAATGTGGAGAAAAAAGATGTGGGACCACAGAAGTACCGTACAACCTAACGATCAACTTTTGAATTTTTTTTGTCATTTTACTAGGTAAGACCCACTGAGCTATATAGCTCTTTTTTTCAGAAGTGAACTGGCCACAAATTATAGCTCAACAGAGTGGCGTATCGTGTGGAAAGTTATATCAGCATCGATTCCAAATGTGGAGGGATAAACCGGAGACCCCGGATAAAAATCCACGCTACCATGGAGAGAGAGAGAACACGCAAATTCCAAATATATACAGCAGGCGGCAGGGTCGGAACCGAACCCACGACTTCCATGCATGCCAGGTGAGGGAGTTACCATCTCACCACCGCGAAGCCTTGGGTCCAGCAATGAACTGTCCAAGAACTGATGATGATGATGGTGCAAGCGACATTTCAGGCAATGATCCTTCTTCACAGCGCATTACTGAATAAGGGCCCCTCACCCGAAACGTCTATTATATATACTGTACAGTATTTGTGTTTTTTCTTCTTTGGTTCTTTCGGTAAAGTCACGTAGAGAATAATAAAATAATATTCTCACGACGTTTCGGCCACAACATAAGTAGCCGTCCTCAGGTGAAGAAACAGGACTGTCCAGAAGACAGCGCTGTCTTCTGGACAGTCCTGTTTCTTCGGTCCTGTATCTTCACCTGAGGACTGTCTTCTGGACAGTCCTGTTTCTTCAGTCCTGTTTCTTCACCTGAGGACTGTCTTCTGGACAGTCCTGTTTCTTCACCTGAGGACGGATACTTGTGTTGTGGCCGAAACGTCGTGAGAATTTTATTATTTTATTCTCATTCTACGTGACTTTACCGAAAGAACCAAAGAAGATGAATCCTTGCAGTCACGAAAGCTTTAAATCGAAAAGTATTTGTTTTACCACGCCGCTCAGAATCATTCCGATGTCACAATCATTCCGAGTACTGATCGTACGTCAATCTGCGCCCTGAGCCGTGACGTCATGCCTCTCGTGCATCAAGCACCGCTCGGGCTGCTGCTGGTGAAATCGCTCAGCGCCCTGCTGCGTGACGTCACGTCTCTAGTGCCCTAAGCACCGCCCAGGCCGGGCTGCGACTGCTGGTGACGTCACTCTGCAGCCTGCGCCATGACGTAATGTCTCTCGTGCCCCAAGCACCGCCCAGACCGGGCTGCTGGCGACGTCATCGCGCGGCTGGGGGACTCCGAAGGCCCCGGCCGCTCCAGAGACACCAATCAAGAGACAGAGATACATTGGGACGCACGAACACACACAGAGGCACTGAGAGACACTACAAAACAGAGACACTGAGAGACTCGCACCGAGACCACGCAGGCGTACGCTCTGGAAGCCGGGTGGTCGCAGCCGAAACCAAACAACAACAGACGCCGCCATTCGCTTGTCAAGCGGCGGCGACCTCACCGCCGGGGGTCTCGTGCCAGGCTCGGTGCGCCTGAGCCTCACGCCAAGGCGTCGGAGGCTCGCGGGACACACGACGGCTCGGGGCAGGGGGACGTGGGTAAGAGTGGAGAGCCCGCGCACTCCGACACGCAGCAGACGAAGGTCGTCCCCCCCTCCCCCGTATAGAGAGTCCCCATCTGGTCAGGCGAAGTGGGGCAAGTGGCGGTTTCAGTGACTTGCCTAAAAGCAAGTCAGGTAGGCAGTCAGGCAGGCTGTCAAGCAGTCAGGCGCTGCAACGAGTTCGTCCGACCGTGGCCTCGGTTAACCGCACCGCGAGGTCGCCCCAAGCGAGTCCGGAGCGAGGTGCCGCGAACCGAGAAGCCGCCGGCCCCGTCCGGTCGCGCTGAGATCGTTCGTGCTGGGTCCCGTCGCCGCTGGGCCGGTCGGGAGCCAGCCCGGCCGCGCCTTCGATCCAACCGGCCGCCTCGGAGACGATGCGGAGCCAAGTAGTCGAGTGGGGTCGTCGGCGGCGGCGAGAGAGGAGCGGAGGACACTCGGAGGAGGTCGAGCGGAGGAGAGCAGCAGCCGGTGGTGGTGGAGGAGGAGAAAGCCTCCCTCGCTGTACCTCGCAGCAGCAGCAGCAGCAGCGTCTGAGGAAGAGGCGGACACGGGAGACGAGGAGGGCGCTTGGGGCGACCCTCGACCCGATGCCATGGCCAAGCCGGTCACGCTCAACGTGGGCGGCACGGTGTACACCACGAGCCTCGACACGCTCACCCGCTTCCCCGACAGCATGCTCGCCGCGATGTTCAGCGGCAAAATGCCCACGGCGCAGGACGCCCACGGCCGCTTCTTCATCGACCGTGACGGCAAGATCTTCAGGCACGTCCTCAACTTCCTTCGCACGTCACGCCTCGACCTGCCCGCCGGCTTCGGCGAGACGGAGCTCCTGAGGCGCGAGGCGGACTTCTACCAGATCGGGCCTCTCGCGGAGGCGCTGCGCGGACGCTCCGGGTCCCCGTGGGCCTCTGAGGGGGGCCTCGGCGGGGGCTTCGGGCCCGGCCGGGGCAACGCGCTGCTGCACGTGGACACGGAGCGCCGCGCCCTCAGCGTGCACTACACGGTGCGCGAGGCGCCACAGGTCTACACGCTGGTAGCCCGCAGCCTCGAGGTCTTCACCACCAACATCTTCTGCACGGCGCCCACCTTCTTCAAGGTGCTGCGCGCCCACTTGCGCGTGTGCGCTCGCGTCGGCACCGGCGGCGGCGGCGACGACGACGACGGTGCCGACGATGAGGACGACGACGACGACGACGAAGACAATGGTGACGACGGCGGTGACCGACGCGTGACGATCGACGGGGCCGCGTCGCAGGGTGACGACACCAACCCCGCCACCTCGTCCAACGCCACGACCGCCACGTCGTCGTCCTCGTCCTCCGTCAAGTCGGACCGCGGCTCCGCGCCCCCGCGGCGTTACCACATGTGCCTCCAGTGGGCGTCCCCGGGGGACACGAGGGGACTGCCCGCGCGGGAGTTCTCCCGCCTGGGCCTGGCCAAGCTGCACAGCACGGCCGGCGGCGGCCCTCCGCGTCCCGTGGACAGCGTCCGGGCCCTCACCGAGGAGGTGATGCAGCTGGCGCTGCGGGCCGGCTTCTGCCTGGACGCGGCGTTCCCTGAGCCCGCGGACCTCCTCAACAGCACCACGCTCAGATTCGTGCGCTACTGCTGATGAGATGTTGACTGCCTCGCCGGGTGTGCAGGTGGTCGTGGGTTCAATCGCGACCCTGACGCGCGATTCCTGTTGTATGTTTAGAGTTTGCGTGTTCTGTTTCGCTCCCTCGCTCTCTCCACGTGGTCGCGCCAATCGGTCAGGTGGAGCCCCAATATTTAATTTGTCTCGCACGGTCACACCTTAGGCTATTATATATCGCGGCTTATCTTGCCTAATCGCATCATTACACACAGGTTGTTCTTTTACACTGTTGTTGAAAACACATCTCATGGTGGTTGTCAAGGGGGCCAAGGCACCCCCACGCTAGTTCCGCTACTGGCTGGAATAGGAGGTCGTGGGTTAGATCCCCACCCTGACGATGGCCTGTTGTATATTTGGAGTTTGCGTGTCTCTCTCTCCCCGTGGTCGCGTGGATTTTTCTCCGGGTCCCCCGGGTTTTCCTCACCATATTCAGAATCGACACGCGTTTCGAGTGTTTGCTATATATTTTAAAGCAATCAGCCACTTGGTTGAACTATCAATTTGTGAGAGCCAGGTTGCTTCTGAAAAAGAGCTGTATAGCTCATTGGGCCTTACCTGGTAAAATAAAAAAATATAGTTTAATAGAGTGCGTGCGTGTGACTGCCTTGAACCATGTCCTGGGCCTCCCCTAGGTCGACTGGGCTAGAAATTAGTACCTGGTGCTGCGGTGTGTAAACATCGCCACTGGGGAGACAAAGGTGGCCGGGCGTGGTTCTGCTTCTCACCCACACCCTCGTGTGCCGTGCCGGCCTTCATAGGTGCTTCTCGTTAACAGCATTTGCCCCAACAGTCTAAGGTTACACGGGGAGGCCTGTCTTTGACGACATCCAGGCTCAGCTCAAGCGGTCCACTCTCTGGTTATTAATCAATTAGTAGATTAACTGTAACCACGGAGATGTATCTCTCCTTTTTTCGCTATGTGTACCACACGTGGTAGTACAGTATGTTAATGTTTACGCGTGAACTTCTGTAAGCCCATTAGAGGGGTGCTACGTTCAGCTCTTCTTGAAACGAAATATAATTGACTATTTAAATCTGAGGGTGTGTGTGTGTTTGTGGCTAAGTTGTGATTATACACGCGGTGTAATTCACACGCTCATCCGCTGGGCATTTACGCGCATCGCCACCACCACGACCCTAAGCGAGTGTTGTGACAATAGTTGCCATGGTCTAGCATAGCATTTAATATAATGGGATAGATAAGGACGCAGCCCTGCCCAATTTACTGGCTCTCACGACTGCTGGTAGAAGGACCTCTTACTCACGGAAGCTCCTCCATCTGGTATTTTGTCTACTCTTCCACATTGCTGAGAGGGATTCAAGAGGCGAAATCCCCATTGTCTCCAGTGCCGCGCCGGGAGATCGGATGGAATCAAACCGGCGGCTCCTGGATTGCTTAGAATGGTGAAGCTGATCCCTAACTCCACGGCAGAAGCGGGTTCCTGCAATAACCACCGCCATCGTGATTTCGTTTATTTATCCAGACTCCCCTAGCCTAAAGACTCTTTGACATGGAGTGCCATGGCTACTACAGACGTCTGGGACAATGCCGCATCTAAAGCAAAAACGGGGGGTGGGGGACGTGTGGTTTTTTGTTTGAGTGTGGGGGGAGGACTCGCCACACCTTCGAGAGGGAAATAACGTCATTCCGAAGCCCAAGGGACCAACTTCAAACTCTACAAAACTCGAGTTGGCAAAAAACCATTGCTGCTGACACTGCAGGTGCCATAGCAAGGGGAAGGGTGGGGAGGGAAGAGCGGCCGCCCGCCTGCCCCCGGGGGCGCTGCGGTAACGATGAAATCGGACCGACGGAATCACCGATCTTTGCTGATATTAGCCAATCAAATGAAGTTCGTGTCACATTATTACTCGGTCGATAGATCGATTGCCAATGAATCAACAACAGTGATTAACCCGTAAATTAAGATTAACCCTGGTATTTTTTAAAATGTTGGTTTATTATGAATCGACTGAAGCGGCACTCGATACAAATTAATCTCTTATCAACGAATCCGCGTGGGCAATTCTCCGATTGGTGATCTTGTGTTATACGATTTTATCGCCCGATCACAGCACCCCTCGCCGTTCGCGAATTGTCGAGCTGAGCCGAACTTGGTGGACCAAACAAAGCGAGCCGTGGCAGGGTGGTGACTGTCGTATAATTTTTTTGGAGGCGGCGGTGCCGGTCCCTCGGCAGTGCCCGAAAGCTCAAGGCGCCACACGGAAACGGCAGCACCTTAAGCTCAGTGGTTCATCTTAACCTGTTGGTGCGAGATGTGGCCAGATTTTTTTTTTAATAAAAAGTAAATAATCGAAAACACAAATTCAGCACGGGACACGTACTTTGTTTCATCAAACCCCATGTATTTATTAACATTGTACATGTTTTAACGATTAAGAACCAAATGGGTGCAGGCTGCAGTAAAGGTTAAGAACCACTGCCTGAAGCTCCCCGAGCCGATGTTGTTTTGTGTTCTAAGAGGTGTGTGTGTAGAAGGGGGATGCCTTCATCACTGAATGTGGTTCACTGAGTCGCTTGTGAACACGCGAGGGTGTTTGTGTGGGTGGGGGGTGAGGGGCTTTGTGTGTGCGAGTGGGGAGCGGTAGTGTAGCGGTTAGCGCGCTGCGCTAATGAACCTGGCGACGCGGGTTCGATTCCCACTCGCGGCCAACACCAGTGACGATTATCTGAACCGGTCCTGGGCCTCCCCTAGGTCGACTCGGCCTCAAATGAGTGTAAGCATCGCCACTGGGGAGACAAAGGCGGTCGGGCGTGGTGCTGGCCACCCATCCCCTCGTGTACCGTTCCGGCCTTCATAGGTGCTCGCTAACAGCACTTACCCCTACAGTCCGTTAAGTCTATACGGGGGAGCTTTGTCTTTTTTGCGTATATTATGGTTATAAATCTAATCGCCCACAAATGAGTGCCTAGTGCGATGTCTATAATCTAATCGCCCACAAATGAGTGCCTAGTGCGATGTCTAAACATCGCATCTGGCACTGGGCGCCACGTTGGCAAGATGTTGACTACCTCACTTGGTATTCAGGAGGACATGGGTTCGATTCGGACCTTGACGCCTGTATATTTGGGGTTTTCATGTCTCGTTCTCTCTCCGTGTTCACGTGGATTTTTGCCTCCGGGTCCTCCGGTTTTCCCCTCCACATTTAGAATCATGCGTTTCGAGTATTTGGCTGCAATACATTTCCACATAAGCCACTTTGCTCAGCTATCATGTGTGGTCAGGTCGCTTCCTAAAAAATACCTATATAGCTCAGTCGGCTTTACCTGGTAAAGAATATATATTCGCCACTGGAGAGATGAAGGCAGCCGGGCGTGGTGCTGCCCACCCACCCCATCGTGAACCGTGCCTGCCTTCACCAGTGCTCGCCAACAACACTTGTCCCAAGAGTCTGTTAAGGCAATACGGGGTGTCTTTGTGTGGAGGGAAGAGCGTGTATATTGGGGAGGAGCGGTGGCGCAGTGATTAGCACGCTGTGCTATGAACCCTGCCACCCAAGTTCGATTCCCGCTCATGGCCAACATTGGTTGCGATTACCTGAACCAGTTATTGGCCTCTTCTAGGTCGACTCGGCCGCCTTAAATGAGTGTCTGGTGCGGAGTGCGAACACCACCACTCGGGAGACAAAGGTGGCCGCGCGTAGCGCAAGCCACCGGCCCTTTCGTGTGCCACGTTGACTTTCATAGTTGCTTCGTAACATCACTTGCCCCGACATTCTGCAAAGGCTTGTATTTGGGTGTGTTTGCATATTTGTGTGTAAGTGTTTTTGGGTGATGTCTATTTCTGTGTGTGTGTGTGCGTGTTTACTTATTTAGGGTGTGTTTGGTGAGCGCCTTTGATATTTGCGAGTGTGTATTTCGGTACAGTGAGGGAAAAAAGTATTTCATCCCCTGCTGATTTTGTACGTTTGCCCACTGACAAAGAAATGATCAGTCTATAATTTTAATGGTAGGTTTATTTGAACAGTGAGAGACAGAATAACAACAAAATTCAGAAAAACGCATGTCAAAAATGTTAGAAATGTATTTGCATTTTAATGAGGGAAATAAGTATTTGACCCCTCTGCAATACATGACTTAGTACTTGGTGGCAAAACCCTTGTTGGCAATCACAGAGGTCAGACGTTTCTTGTAGTTGGCCACCAGGTTTGCACACATCTCAGGAGGGATTTTGTCCCACTCCTCTTTGCAGATCTTCTCCAAGTCATTAAGGTCTGGAGACTCGCTAGGCCACTTCAGGACCTTAATGTGCTTCTTCTTGAGCCACTCCTTTGTTGCCTTGGCCGTGTGTTTTGGGTCATTGTCATGCTGGAATACCCATCCACGACCCATTTTCAATGCCCTGGCTGAGGGAAGGAGGTTCTCACCCAAGATTTGACGTCCATCGTCCCTTTGATGCGGTGAAGTTGTCCTGTCCCCTTAGCAGAAAAACACCCCCAAAGCATAATTGTTCCACCTCCATGTTTGACGGTGGGGAAGGTGTTCTTGGGGTCATAGGCAGCATTCCTCTTCCAAACACGGCGAGTTGAGTTGATGCCAAAGAGCTCCATTTTGGTCTCATCTGACCACAACACTTTCACCCAGTTGTCCTCTGAATCATTTAGATGTTCATTGGCAAACTTCAGACGGGCATGTATATGTGCTTTCGTGAGCAGGGGGACCTTGCGGGCGCTGCAGGATTTCAGTCCTTCACGGCGTAGTGTGTTACCAATTGTTTTCTTGGTGACTATGGTCCCAGCTGCGTTGAGATCATTGACAAGATCCTCCCGTGTAGTTCTGGGCTGATTCCTCCCTGTTCTCATGCTCATTGCAACTCCACGAAGTGAGATCTTGCATGGAGCCCCAGGCCGAGGGAGATTGACAGTTATTTTGTGTTTCTTCCATTTGCGAATAATTGCACCAACTGTTGTCACCTTCTCACCAAACTGCTTGGCAATGGTCTTGTAGCCCATTCCAGCCTTGTGTAGGTCTACAATCTTGTCCCTGACATCCTTGGAGAGCTCTTAGGTCTTGGCATGGTGGAGACTTTGGTATCTGATTGATTGATTGATTGCTTCTGTGGACAGATGTCTTATACAGGTAACAAGCTGAGATTAGGAGCACTCCCTTTAAGAGTGTGCTCATAATCTCAGCTCGTTACCTGTATAAAATACACCTGGGAGCCAGAAATCTTTCTGATTGAGAGGGGGTCAATTATTTTTTCCCTCATTAAAATGCAAATCAATTTATTAAATTTGTGACATGCGTTTTTCTTTATTTTTTTGTTGTTAGTCTGTCTCTCACTGTTCAAATAAACCTACCATTAAAATTATAGACTGATTATTTCTTTGTCAGTGGGCAAAGGTACAAAATCAGCAGGGGATCAAATACTTTTTTCCCTCACTGTATGTGTTGGGTGTGTACGGATTTGAATACGTGTGCACGCGTGTGTGTGAATGTGTAAGGTCCGGGCATTTGGGGGAGCGGTAGTGTAGCGACATGGGACCTTATTTTTGCCAGTCCCAAAGTATAAAAAATAAGTATATGTTTTACTCTTTCTGGCAATAAAACAGGTGTTAAGATGTTCAAACACCAAATAGAAAACTTTTGCAAGGAATCATGTCTGCATTAACCGCACGTACGTGTGGTAATGTGTGCATTGGCTTTGAAACTGATTGGTCTACACCAGAGACAACCTATTTTAGTGCCTTGTCTCACCAGTGTCAGACCAGAGGACGCCAAAAGGCGAACAGATCAACGGTAGTGTAGCGTTTATCTACGAACCCGGCCGTTCGAGTTCGATTCCGGCTCACGGCCAACACACCAATGACGATTATTTGAACAGGTCCTGGATCCTCCCCTAGGTCGACTCAGCCTCAAATGGGAAACATTTCCACTTGGGAGACAAACACGACCGGGCGTTGTGCTGGCCACTTGAACCCCTCGTGTGTCGTTCTGGCCTTCACTCGCTAACAGCACTTGCCCTGACAGTCTGTTAAAGGCTACACGGGGGGGTCTTTGTCTTTGTGTATAAATGCGCGTGTTGGTTTAGTCGGCGTCAGCACCATGCACATCGCTGTGGGAGATAGGGGGGGGGGAGACAAAGACGACAGGGGCGTGTGAGTCTGACCTCTCTAACCAACCTGCTCATGTTCATGGCGACCACGACATGTGCTCACTAACCACACTTTTCTAAACACCTAAAACACTTGCAAAACGCCATCGCCTGCAATGTGGATACTCCTGTGTGTGGAGGCGCGCGAGCGTTGCACAAAGCTGCTGCTGCTGCTGCTGCGAGCTTGCAGATGGAACGCGGTGGTTATTGACTGCCGGGTCGCGTATGTTGAACTTCTTTCCCAACGTACGGAGCCAACCGTGCTAATCGGAGGAGCGGGGGAAATACAACAAACTATGGGTCTCTGTGTGAGTCCATGGGTCCCTGTGAGTCTATGGGTCTCTGTGTGAGTCAATAGGTTTCTGTGTGCATCTACGTATGTATGTTGAACTTCATTCGCACCGTACGTAGACAACCGTGCTAATCGGAGGTGCGGGGGTGGCGCGGGGGGGGGGGTGAAATCGGAGACCACTGGACACTGTCTGAAAAGTGCGCAAAAAGAAAGTGCGTGGATCAACAGCTCCACTTGAGAGCCGCCGGAAAGAGACGAGAGTTAAGGGGCGGATTGGAGAAACGGGTGCAGACCAACGGCACCGCTCAACTGCAACAAAACCGTGAACAAGGAGTGAGCGGGGCTTGGGCAGGTTGGTCGAGGGTGATGGCCGCAGGTTGGTCGAGGACGATTACGGAATGGCAGCCAGGGGATGGAACACGTCCCAAAGGACCGGCCCAGCCGTTGGAATCGGCCTCGTGTGACGACGATTTAAAAACTAAATGAAACTTCGATTTACCAGGTAAGTAGCCCAACTGATTTTAAATGTGGAGAGGAAAAACTGGAGGCCACCACGGAGATAAATTCACGCCACCACAGAGAGACATGAAAGGCATCGGGATCGGGATCCAACCCACGGTTCCTCCATACTAGGCGATGGAGACAACATCTCGTCACCGTGGCTTGGGGATGCCTTCATCCAGAAGTGGATTGATCATGGTGATGATACTGATGATGATACTGTCTGCCCACCACCCCGTCAACAGAAGCAGCAGCAGTCGGTTAGAACCAGACCTGGGGTGTGGGTGCGAACTCGTCGTGGCATGCTCGAGTGTGCGTGGCTTTCAATGGATCTGGCTCTGAGTGGATTGGAGCAGTGTGGACTCTGAAAGGACATCGGCATTCTCTCGGCTGTGACCTCTACCTGCCCAGTTCGCGATATTTTGTACACAGTAAACGTGTGTACAGGCAGCACGGACATTAACACAGACCACCCTTATAGCCATAAAAGCTTTGGGGCAAGTGCTGTTAGCGAGCACCACGATGAAGGGGGTGGGTGATT